GTGGTTCTTATGGGGGTGGGCTTTTTTTAACCTTTACGTTGTGGACGTCGATTAATAGAAAAGAAGCGTGCTGCCAAATAACTTCCAGATGCCTAGAACATGTTTCAAACATGTTTCAAATATGTAAAAACATGTTTGAAACATTTTAAGCACATGTTTTACACATTTTAAACACATGTTTAATTCAATGATAGGATTGATGGAGTGTCCATTGTCATGGTATCACAACTCCATGGAGGTCCCTTATGTGAGCCGAAAAACCCTGCCGGACAGACCGTGGCATTCTTCCACGCCTCAGCGTGCCAAAGGGGGGCACGGTGGCGGCCACTTCGGGCGTCGTGGCGATGCACCACGGCGGCCGTCTCTGCCCATGCTCGTACAGTGGCGAGGAGGGCGATGGGCAAGGACGAGGAGGAGGACGAGGAGGAGGATGAGGAGGACAAGGAGGAGGATGAGGAGGACGAGGATGAGGAGGACGAGGATGAGGAGGACGAGGATGAGGAGGAGGACGAGGAAGAGGAGGAGGAGGAGGAGCAGGAGGAGGAGGAGGAGGAGGAGGAGGAGGAGGAGGAGGACAAGGAAGGCGTGCCCTGGAGCCCTCGGGATCGACCCAGCTTGACCGGTCCTTCTGGGCTGGGGGCGCCGGCTGTCGGTTCCTGCACTGGCACTGCCTTTGCTTCACGTTCTCTCTGCTCGCGGGTGGTCGTCGCCCAGCTCCTCCCTGCTCTCGCCCCCTCCTCCTCCTCCTCCCTCCTCCTTCCTCCTCCTCCTCCTCCTCCTCCTCCTCCTCCTCCTCCTCCCTGCTCCCCCCCTCCTGCTGCCGCGCCTCGTCCTTCGGTCCACGGCGCAAGAATTGCCCGACGCTGCTCGTCGCGCCTCCTGCGCAACACAGGGGCGCTCCTCCCCGTCGCTCCGCTCGTCTCCTCTCGGACGTCCATCTTTTGTCTTGCCTTGCGGTCGGGAGCTTTGGCTTCGGCACGGCACGATAACCGTTGCCCAGTCCCCAAGCGTCAACCTCACAAGCTTTTCCAAGCCTCTCGCCCCGCGGGGCGTAGCGACACGCTATCCGCTCGCAGGGCAGAGCGTGTCACAGAGGCCGCCGCCGCGACCCGCTGAGCAAGAGTTCCTGACTGCAGTGCCTGGGATGCTCGGCTCGGGTGGACGAGGGTGCGGTCTGATGAGTTGGCGACGGGCGACGACCATTTTTGGCACAGGTGTGGACGCGCTTGGCGCCGAGACGTGCTGATCCGTGCTGTCATGAGGAACGCTGGGGAAGGAACGAAGGAGCTTTTCTGGCCACTGCGAGCCTTGGCTTCGAATAGGTCCCCTCACCTAGACGTGCCCCCAGAAAACAGCGCCTCCTGATCCCAAAGTGGTCCTTTTCTCAGCGTCTTGACTATATCCCCACCCGCGGGAGCGGTCCTCCTACGCGGACAGCGAGAGTTGCGCAAGAGGCGAGCGTCCGAAGAAGTACAGCTTTCCTCCTCCTATCCCTGGACTCTCCTCCTTGCCCTCCCCTTCGTCCGCTCCCTTTGGACAGATCGGCCCCCAGGCAGGCCCTGGGGTACGCTCTGGCCACAGGTGCGATCTGAATCCAGTCGTGGCGACGAGAAGCCTCCTAGAGGCCTAATAGGTTAAACCGAGACAACAATCTAGACTTTTGATCCTCCTCCTCCTTCTCCTCCTCCTTCTCCTTCTCCTTCTCCTTCTCCTCCTGCCCCGCCGGCCAGAATCTATCCATAACGGGTCCCCAGACCCCTTCTCGGGGTCCATTCTGTTCGGTTTTGGAGGTCGGGCCGATATTTTCATGGTCCGAGGGCTGATACGGAGTCTCCAGGTGTCGAGAATGGGAATGGCCGTTCGAGCCTAGATCCTCGAACCTCGATCCTCCGCTCTCCCTCTGCGCCCTCCCCTCCCCTTGGGGAGGACGGGAAGGGTGAGGAGATGCGTTAGGAATGATAGGAAGGGAGGGGATGATTTTGATGATAAAGATACTGATGATGCTGATGATGATGCTGATGATGCTGATGCTGTCGATAATGATGATGCTGCTGATGATGATGGGGATGATGCTGATGCTGATGATGCTGATATTGCTGACGATGGCGATGATGATGCTGATGATGATTATGATGATGATCAGGACGATAACGATGACGATGACGGCGATTATGATGATGTTGATGATGATGGTGACGATGATTGTGATGTTGCGGATAATGATACTGACGATGATGATGACGATGACGATGGTGATGATGATGCTGATGATTCTGATCATGACTATGATGTCGGTGCGGATGACCATGATGACGCTGCAGATGATGACGACGACGATGATGACGATTATGATGATGATGACGATGATGATGACGATGATGATGATGATGATCATGATGACGATGATCGTGATGATGAGCATGATCGTGATGATGACGATGATGGCGATGATGCTGATGAGGATAATGATTACGATGGTGATGCTGATGATGATGCTGATGCTGATGATGATGACGAGGCTGATGATGATGAGGATGATGCTGCTGATGATGACGATGATGAGGATGATGATGACGATGCTCCTGAAGACACATTATGATGCTGATGATGATGATGATGATTATGATGATGATGATACTGATGCTGGCGATGATGCTGATGACGACGATGATGATGCTGATGATGATGATGATGATGATGATGATGATGATGGTGATGACGGTGATGATGCTGTTGTGGATGCTGCAGATGATGCTGATGATGATGATGATGATGATGATGAAGTGGATGATGGTGATGATGATGAAGAAGATGACGATGAAGGTGATGAGGATGATGATGATGATGATGATGATGATGCTGATGATGATGATGATGATGATGATGATGATGATGATGATGATGATGATGTGATGGCCAGTCTGCTTATGATGCTGATGTCGTTGATGACGATAATGGCGATACTGATGCTGGTGATGGTGATGATGATGATGGCGATGATGATTCTGATGCCGTTGATGATGCTGACGATGATGATGAGGATGATGATGATGATGATGATGATGATGATGATGATGATGATCATGATCAAGGTGATGGCGATGATGCTGTTGTTGATGGCGATGCTTCTGATGATGACGGTGATTTTGATGATAGTGATGATGAGTATGCCGTTGATGATGAAGATAATGATGATGACGATTATGGTGATGAGCACAAACATGATGCTGCTGATGCTGATGATGACGATTATGATGATGATGATGATGATGATGATGATGATGATGATGATGATGATGATGATGATGATGATGATGATGATGATGATGATGATGCTGGTGATGCTGATTAGGATGCTAAGTATGTCGCGGATGATACTGGTTCTGGTGCTGATGATGCCCATGCTGGTGATGCTGATTATACTAATACGGCGGAGGACGATGGCGATGGTGATGCTGATGCTGATTCTGATGATGATGATGATGATGACGATGATGATGATGATGATGATGATGATGATGATGATGAAAATGATGATGGCGATGGTGAGGATGCTGAGGCTGATGGTGCTGATGATGATGTTGGTGGTGGTGGTTGTGATGATGATGATGGCGAGGCTGCTGCTCCTGCTGATATTCATGATGATGGCGATGCTGGTGTTGGTGATGATGATGATGATGCTGTTGTGGATGCTAATGGTGATGATGATGCTGATGATGATGCTGCTGATGCTGATGCTGTTGCTGAGGATGACGATGATGAGGACGAAGATGAAGATAATGAATCGTGTTGGTGATGATGATGCTAGTGGTGATTGTGGTGTTGGATGTGGTTCTGGTGGTGATGATGCCTGCAGGGGATGATGATGCTGCTGCGGATGATGATGCTGATTCTGATTCTTATTCTTATTCTGATTCTGATTCTGATTATGATGATGGTGATGATGACGATGATGACGGCGATGAAGGTCATGAGGATGACGCTGATGATGATGGCAGGTGTGCTTATGATGCTGATGACGATGATGATGATGTTGATTGTGATGATGATGGTATGGTGGTACTGATGATGATGATGATGAAGGTGATGGTGATGGTGTTGGTGATGGCGATGGCGATAGTGATGATGATGCTGATGAGGATTTTGGTGCTGATTGTTGGGATGACGATGCTACTGCTGCAGATGATGTTGATGGGGAGGGCGAAGACGGTGATGACGATGTTGCTGCTGCTGATGACGAGGTTGAGGCTGCTGCTCCTGATGATAATGATTATGATGATGAGCATCCTCATCACAATGATATTGTTCAGGCAGCTATAGATGATGCTGGAACGGTCGATGATGATGATCATGATAATGATGGATGCTGTTCATGATTATTATGGTTGTGGTGATGGCGTTGGCGATGTTCATGCCGTTGATGATGATGAGGATTATGATGAGCAAGGTGAAGACGACCACGATGTGATGACGAGGGTAACGACGATGACGATTATGGAGACTAAAACGACGATGATGATGGTTGTGGTTGTGTTGATGATTACGATGACTGTGGTCATGATGACGATGGTGATGTTGTTAATGATTGTGTTGGTGATGGTGCAGCGGATTGTCATGGCCCTGCTGCTGCTGATGATCATGATCGTGATGATGACGATGATAATGATGATGATTAGGATGATGCTGCTGTTGATGATGATTAGACTGATGATGGTGATGATGATGATGATGATGATGATGATGATTGTGATGTTGTTGATGATGATGATGATGATGATGGTGGTGGTGGTGGTGGTGATGATGATGATGATGATGAGTATGATGAATATGATGATCATGATGATGCTGATGATGATGATGATACTGATGCTGATGCTGATGCTGATGATGGTGATGATGAGGATGATGTTGGTGATGATGAGGATGGTGATGGTGATGAGGATGGTATGCGACTGCAGCATCGACGACGACGGCGACGACGGCGCGCCGCGGCGCGCGAGGTGGCTCGCAGGGGCTGGGCAAGGCCCTGGCGCTGCTGTGCGTCCAGAGGGGCGCCCGTGTGACCATCGTGCGGGGGGGGGGATACAGTGAGCGGCTTGAATAAGTAACACTTACTTTTCAAAAGGGGCTCGGTCGTTCCTTAGGTTTGCATGCGTTATCTACAGTTCCTTATGCATTATTTCTTATTTATCGTTCCTTATGCGTTATTCCTTGGGATATAAAAGGGGCTTCGTTCCTCATTTATCGTTCCTTAGGTCAGGCCGATGACTGTAGGGCCAGGGGAACGTCGGCCACCCGTGAGAGTGGACCTTTTTGCCCGGGGTGCTTGCCCACGGTGGTCCCCGCACCGCTGAGGCCTGCGCGCTTGGATCCGGCCCTGCCGCGGGCCCTTAGCGCCGCGCACCAGGTGTCCCTCTTGCCCAGGGTTACCCTTGCGTACAGTCGGGCCCCTGAAGAAGGAACCCTTTTCGTTGTGGAGGGGCTCGGTGTTCCTTGATTGGGCTGCAGTTTGCCTTCTGTTTTCCTGAGGTTTTCCATGGGAAATCGAAGTTCAACTTATGGGAGAAAGGGGCCCCGTTCCTTATGTAGGGTTTCTTATGTCAACGCCTCGACTTTACGGTAGGTTCGCGTCGTGTCGACAGGCGGCGACTCCGCCGCCGCTGTTCAACGTTGAACGCCGCCGGCGACGATCGTTCATGGTTGAACGATCCCCGCGGTGTCAGGAACCGACGGCGGGGTCGGCACGACACGAACCTGCCGTAGCCGAGAAGAGGGGGAACGACGACGACGACGTCGACGAGGACGACGACGACCTGTTGCTTCTCCCTCCTCACCTCGTCGTCGTCGTTGTCGTCGTCGCCGTCGTCGTTGTCCTCGTTTTCGTCATCGTCCTCTTCCTCGTCATCGTCTTCCTGAAGCCAGCGCCGCGGGTGGATCCACGTCGAAGCCTTCCTCCTCCTCGTCCTCCTCGGGCGGGCCCGGTCGAAGCCCTCCTCCATTTTCCCTCTCCTCCTCCTCCTCCTCCTCCTCCTCCTCACCTCCTCCTCCTCCTCACCTCCTCCTCCTCCTCCTCCTCCTCCTCCTCCTCCTCCTCCTCCTCCCCCTCCGCCTGCGAGCGGCGGAGGCGGCGGCCCGCCGCCCTGCCCCCGCAACTCTTGGAGTGCTCATCCGAGGTGCGCAGACGTCGCTTGAGGCCAGCAGCGGCAGCAGCCAGGAACCTAAGCAACAATCAAGCAAGATGCTGCAGCGGCCAGCGCTGGGCACTTTACGCACAGAGGCTCTGGCGTTGCGTCTTCTCCCAATGTGTCCGGGTGCTGCCTGGGCGAGTGATTGAAGCGAACATTTCACGAGCCGGCTTCAGTCAGATGCGATGGACCTCCCTGCTCCCTGCTCCCTCCTCCCTCTCTCTGTCTCTCTCTCTCTCCTGGCCCAGCGATAGAGACGATGCCCTCGTCGCCAGCGCCGCTCGATGGCGTGGTCCTCTCAGAGGTGTGGCGACACGTCCGAGGAGAGCAGCGCCCGTTGACCGGAGGCCCCGTGAAGCTTGTCGCGGAGCCGGTGCGCCGCGCCGACCCCGTTGACATCTCTTCCGCGGCGGAAGGCGGCGGAAGGTCGGCGGAAGTAAAGCGAGGCCGCCTAGCGGAAGGGCGGCGGGAGGTCGGCCGGCAGGTCGGCGGAAGTAAAACGAGGCCGCCTCCGCCAGCGGAAGCCGGCGGAAGGCCGGCGGAGGGCGGCGGAAGTAAAGGAAATGCGTCCCGAAGAGAGGAACACGTTTTTGGGTTCAGGGTTTCGGACAAAGCCCATGTGAAGGGGTTTTTTTTTCTGGTTGTCCGCCCCCGCCGGAGGTTTGGGAACCGCATACTGAGGTGTGGCCGAGATCCACCTGTACGACCACCCTTCCCTTGGCCACCCTTGGGGTGATAAGTAGGTTCGGGGGGGAGGAACCAACGTCTCATCTCAATCGATCTCCCTATCGATCTTGTCATAATCGGTCTCACTATCGATATCACTATCGATCTCACCATCGATCTCACTATTGGTTTCACTATCGATCCCACTATCGATCTCACCCGTATCGATCCCGTCTATCGATCTCACCCGACCGCTCTCACTATCAATCTCGCTATCGACTCACTATCGATCTCACTATCGATCTCACTATCGATCTTTGTATCGATCTCACTGTCGATCTCACTATCGATCTCAAGATCGATCTCACGATCGATCTCACTATCGACCTCAGTATCAATCTCGCTATCGGTCTCACTATCGGTCTTACTATTGATCTCACTTTCGATCTCACCAGATCGATCTCACCAGATCGATCTCACTGCCGATTTGCACTATCGACCTTACTATCGATCTTAAAATCGATCTTACAAGCGATCTCGGTATCGATCTCACTATCGATCCCACGATCGATCTCACAAGTGGTCTCGCCACAGATCTCACTAGTGATCTCACTACGGGACACCGACGGGACACCGACGGAACACCGACGGGACACGGACGGGACGCCGGCGGGACACACATGCGGGACACCCTGGGCCACTGCCGGACAACCCGGGGGCGCGCGCGCCGCGCGGGTAACCAATATCTGCCCCGCGAACACGCGATGCCATTCATGAAAGTGTCCGTACATTTCAACGGAGTCCAATGGAGGCGGATGTCGTAATGAGGTCTCGTGGGGTCATGTGTAGTTTGATGGGGGCAATGGAGTCCGATGAAGTGCACTGGAGTCCAATGACATCGCGTGGGTTTTCGAATGGAGTCGTATGGGGTCCAACGAAGTGTAATGGAGACCAATACAGTCAATCGGTGTCAATTTGGGCACATTTGATCCATAGAGCCTCATGGTTTCCAGTGGATTCCGATGGGATCGCATGGAGTTCCATTGAAGTCCTATGTAGTCCAATGGGATCGACGAAGCGAGTCCATTTGGGAGTGCAATGTAGTCGTGCTCCGTGGGAGTTCCATAAAGTCAGCTGAAGTCCTTTCAATCAATTTGACAGTTTCCATTTGAACTCAACGCTCATAGACATGTACATGCGGCGCTGTAGAGCAATATTGCGCTCTCGAGAAGTTGACCGCGCCTCTTTGATGGAAGCTGGCAGAGGACTGGCGGAAGCCAGCGGACGCCAAAGGCGGGCAGCGCCGCTGGCCGAAGCTGGCAAGCTGGGGGAAGCAACAGCTCCTCCCCTACATTTTTTGGACTTAGGGCTTCGGGCGCGTTCCTTCTGGCCAGCAGCGCGAGCCTGGTTGCAGGGGAGGTTGCCAGGACAGCTTCCAAGCTCGAGGAAGCGTGTGCGGAGATCGGCCAGGCGACCCGGAGATGCTGTCGAGGGAGTGTCGGGGGGAGGCCAAGGCAGCACGTCTATCGTGCGTTTTGTAGCGCGCACCGTGTTGCACTGGCTGATTTCCATGTTCGATTATGAGATCCATCGATGCTTGGATGTGCGATTGTCGGAAGCGGTGATCAAAGTTCTTGCGACTGCGATGATTTGATACCATGGGGGATCTGCCTTACTGATGCCTAGACCTGATCAGAAAACGGAGCGAATAAGCGGATGTCGAACAACCTTGTTCTCGGGTATGAGCGTGAGCATTTGAAATTCTTGACGTTTCGCGTCTCCCCACCAGCCCATCCAGCAACGATGCCCAGGCGAGATACACTGAGCAGGGCAGTGCGGGAGCACGCAGCGGAACAACGAGGAGGGAAGGGCAAACGTCACACCGAAGATCGGAACTTGCTTGAGCAGCACCAGGAGTCAACCAGAGCTGCTTTCGCGGATCTTTCGATAAGGAAGCCCCTCGGCAGCTTGCCTCGGCCATCTTGGGGCCCTGCCGGCCTTTGGGGCCCTGCTCTCTTGTGGCCCTCTTGACGTCGATCAAAGAAGGGGAGCCCTTAATTAGCGTTGCTCCTCTGGAGCCCCGAAAATCGTGTCTGGGGGGCCCTCCTCAGGGATGCTTCTTCGGGTCTCTTCGGGGCACTTTCGGAGGCTTCTTGGAAGCAGTTTTGGAGTCTCTTGGGAGCCTCTTGGGGCCTCTTGGGGGCTAGGGGCCTCTTGGGAGCCTCTTGGGGCCTCTTGGAGGCCTCGTGGGGGCCTCTTGGGACCTCCTGGGGGGGCCCTCGGGGCCGAGGGCTCGAAATGTCCGTTCGGGCCCCCCTATCTGGGCCCCTTCTTGGGGCCGTCTTTGGGCCCTCTTGGGCCGTCTTGGGCGCCTTGTGGGCCATCTTGGGGCCCTCCTGGGCCGACAGGGGGGCCTGTTGGGGGCCTCTGGGGCAGTCTTGGGGCGATCTTGGTGGCCTCTTGGGCCGTCTTGGAGCGTCGGAATGCAGAACAATTGGGAAGGCCAACGAACTTCAAGACCTAGGGAAAGTAAATGGCTTGTGCTTCTTCAGGCCTTCGTGGAACGCCTCTTGGAACGCTCTTGGGACGTCTTCGGGGACTCTTGTGCCGTGTTGAGGCCATCTTGGGGGCATTGGGGCACCCTTAGGCTTTCTCGGAGGCATCTTCGGCCCCCTTGGGTGCTCTTTGATTGGGCCTATGTTTGGCCAGCTGCGCCACCGGAGGACGCGCGCGACACGCCCGGGGAATCCGCAGAAATCCCAGGGACTCCACGGAAATCACAGGGACCCCCTGGAAATCTTCAGAAATCCACGGAAAACCTGATGAAACTGGTGGCCTCGGCCTTCAATATTTTTCAAATCCTACAACTCTGAACTTCTCGGGGCTGCATGAGCCGTGGGGCAATCCACTACGTGCTGCAGGCACGGTGGCGGATATTGAGCCATCTTGGAGGCCATCTTGGGCGTCCTGAGATCATTTTGGAGCCATGACTCCCCAGACGCCTCTGAAGGATGCCCCCGAGACGTCGGAGTGTTTTCACTGGTTTGAGCTTTGAGCGAAGGAGGGGGGGGGGGTCATTCATTACGCTTGCCCTCCTCTCGAGCCCTCAAAGCCGCCTCTTGGGGCCCTCTTGGGGCGCTCTCGGGCGCTTTCAGGGCCGTCCTTGGAACCTCTTTGGCACCTCTTGGGGCCCTCTTGGGCTAGCTTGTGTCCATCTGTAGTCTTCCAGATCCCATCGGGAAGCACGAGAGGCGAGAAAGCAAGCACACAGGTCTCACGTATGTGTTGGACCAAGCTTGGCCTCTCGGAGGCCTCTTTGGGAGGCTCAGTGGCCACTCGAGGCAGTCTTGGAGCAGTCTTGGGGCCTCTTGGAGGCATTGCTGGAAGCCATCTTGAGCGACAGGCCTCGGAAGAAAATAGCGAACACCCATGCCACATTTACCTGTCGATGCCCCTCCAATAATCAAAGTTGGCGGTGGTTCAACGTGTTGCACTTCGACCACAATCTTCCCCGCGCGTCCCAACTTGGAATTTTGGGGAGAGGCGAAATGCCAACTAATTCTTTCCCTCTGCCGGATCTTGCGCTAGCTCGAAACATTTCGGAGGCCATCGTGAGCTATCTTGGGGCCATCTTGGAGCCATCTTGGGCCATCTTCGACGCTCCAATCGGTCGACAACCAGGGGTGGGGGGTACGGGGAAGTGTCAAGCTACCCACAAGCAACAAACCGTCTCGCTCATTCCCAACCGCCCTCCTAAAACATAAGTGCCACCCACGTCTCTCCACGGACATGGGCCGCCATCGACAACCAGCGGGAACCAATACAGACGTCAGCCCAGTGTGCGAAGCCCGCGAGGTGCGCCGCACATGCCAGCTGCGCCACGCGCACCAGGTTGGGCAAGACGTCGACCCTCCCACCGTACCTGTCAAAAACCACTGCGAAGTGACGGCTGGTTGTATGTGTATGTGTGTATGTGTGTGTGTGTGTGTGTGCGGGCCCAGTAGCCCCTCTGGCTCAAGCCGTCTGGGCTCGAGCACGCCCCTGGCGCTCAGGTGCAGAGACCGCGGCGGCGGCGCGGCGGCGCGGCGACGGCGGCAGCGGGCGGCTACCTCCGCCCGCGCTGCCGGCGCTGCGCGGGCGCCGCAGGCGTCGTGGGCGCTGCGGGCGTCGCGGGCGTCGCGGGCGCCGCGGGCGCTGCCGGCGCCGGCGTTGCGGGCGCCGCCGCGGGCGCCGCGGCGCCCGGGCGCCCCAGGCCTCGTTGGCGCCGCGGGTGCCGCCGGGGCTACTGTCGCCGCGTGTGTCGCCGGCGCTGCCCGCGCTGCCGGCTCCGCGGGCGACGCGGGTGTCTCGCGCGCTGCGGGCGCCGCGTTCGCCGCTGGCGCCGAGGGCGCCGCGGGCGCCGCGGGCGCTGCGGGCGCCGCGGGTGTCGCTGGCGTTGCTGGCGCCGCGTGCGCCGCTGGCGTTTCTGGCGCTGCGGGCGCCGCTGACGATGTGGGCACCGCGAGCGCGGCTGGCGCCGCCTCGGCCGCCGCGGACGCCGCTGCGGCGGCGGCCGCTGCCAGGCTCTGGCCGGCGGCGGCCGCCCTCGCCCAGGTGGCGGCAGCTGCGGCCCGCGCGGCGGCCCGGCCGAGGGCGCCACTTGGCCTGGGACTTGTATTACAGCATCATGATGGACTCCACCACCGGATCGTGTGCAGCATGGCGGATCACAGCAGCACGATCATGAGCAACACGATGGACTTCAGCAACGCGACGAACTTTCTGCCTTGTTTCGGGCCCGGGCCTGGGACCATCGCAGATCGAGCCAGCTCGGAAAATGCCGCAGACAGAAGGCGTCTACCAGCAACACCACGCCGACCAATGCGTGCGAGAACGTTTGGCAGGAGCAGTGGCAGCCGGCCTTGTGCGTTGCTCCGGGATATGTTGGGAGTGATGCCGGAGCCAACCATCAGATGCTGCAGCACCCCGACCGATGCGCGCGAGAGGGACTGGCAGGGGCAGCAGCAGACAGCCCTTGCGCTGCTCCGAGATATGTTGGGAGTGGTGTCGAAGCCCACCTTCAGCTGCTCCAGCGCCCCGACCAGCGCGCGCGATGAGGATTGGCAGGGGCAGTGGCAGCCGGTCCTGACGCTGCTCAACAGCGTCCCGATCAGCGCGCGCGAGAGGGACTGGCAGGGGCAGCGGCAGACTGCCCCGGCGCTGTTCCGAGAGATGCTGGGAGTGAATCCAGAGCCCACCGTCATCGAGGCCAAAAGCAGAGCGTCAATTTTTTTGAACATTTTGACGCTGGATTTTGGGCAGGACAGGCGCGGGCAGTGGCGGCCAGCCCTGGCGCTGCCCAGCGAGACGCTGGGAGCGAAGGTGGAGTCCACCATTGTCTGCTACAACGCCCCGATCAGCACGTGCGAGACGAACGTGCGCAGCGAGATGCTGGCTGTGAAGCCGGGGCCCACTGCGTGTTATCTGCTGCAGCGACCCGACCAGTGCTCGCAGGGCGGACCGGCAGGGGTAGTGGCAGCTGGCCCTGGCGCCGCTCCAAGAGATGGTGGGAGTGGAGCTGGGGCCCGCCATCTTCTGCTCCAGCGCCCCGATCAGCGCGTGCGAGAAGGGCGGGCAGGGTCAGTGGCTGCCGGCCCTGGCGCTGTTCAGCGAGACGGTGGGTGTAAAGCTGGAGCCCGCCATCATCTGCTACAGCACCTTGATCAGCGCGTGCGAGAAGGGGCAGTGGCTGCCGACGACGGCGACGACGAGGCGGAGGAGGTCGTGGAGGTGGGCATCGGATGGGTCGACGAGGCGGCGGAGGAGTTCGGGGAGTTGGGGGTGGTGGTCGGGGGCGGGGGCGGCGCGAGGGGGGCAGGGGAGGTCGCCGCGGAGTTCGGGGAATGGGCGGGGGAGGTCAGGGGCCATTTCGACGACGCGTGCGATGAGGATGGCGAGGGCGGCGACAAGGGGGTGGCCATGGAAGGGGGGGGGGGGGCGTCGAGATGAGGGGGGGCGTCGACGCGGTCGCGGAGGTGGGCGTCGACGGGGGGTTCGAGGAGGTGGTCCTAGATGTTGGCGCCGAACAAACCCTTTGTGGCCTGGGCTCCACGGGGGTGGCCGCCGATCGTGGCGTAGGACGCCGTCTGCGAGCCTTCCCAGGCCAATCTTGCGCGCGCCAATCCGGTCGGTGCGACGCCGCCAATCTTGCCGACGCTACGCCGCCAATCCTGTCGATCTTGCGCGAGACATGCCCGCCGATCCCTGGGTCGCGCGGGGCGCAGGTGGGGCCCCCGGGGCGCCGGGGCGGCGGGCCGTAGACCCGCCGACGCCCCCTTCCCGTCCAAGTGGAGTCTCCGCGCGCCCACGAGCGGATAGGGAAACGACGGATGGCGCTCAGAAGTCTGGGAGGGGCGAGGAGGATGGGCACCTCGATCCATATTGCTTTGACCAGTCTCCGCTTGGCGACGGCGCCCCAGACCCTGCCCTGCGCTGCCTTGTTGTTGACGGCCGCTTTGCGCCGCTGCGGCCCGCGTCGCCCGGCCGCGACAGTCGGGGCCCAGTCGAGCGCCGCGGCGGCGGGCGGGCGCGCGAGGGCGGAGAGAGCCCCGCGAGCGAATTGGTCCAACCTCCCCGTTGGGCGGACCACGAGGAAAACGCCGTCGACCCCCCAGCGGGCGCAGACGCCCCGACAAGCTCCCCAGCGCCTTCCTGGCCCGCGCCAGCCAGTGAGACCATGGGGCCGCCGGCCCAGGCCGCGGAAGCAGACGAACTGAACGACCGCGCGCGTAGCTCGGACAGCGTTGCTGCGGGCGACTCTGGCGCGCGAAAAGAGGGCCCTCCCGTGCCGGCTGTGTTGGCGTCTGCGTCGCGGACTGCAGACTGGCAGCCGTCGCTGCGGGCGGCTGAGGCAGCGGCGCGCGACGGGCGCGTGCCTCCCGCAAGCCCCCCGCCGATCATGGCGCGCGCGCCTGCTGCGGAGGCGCCGTCAGGAGACAGGCCTCGCCTCGTCCGGTAAGCGCAGGGCGACCTCTGGATGAGGGTCATGGAGGCGTGTGCTGACTGCCCGTGGACTCGCGAACACTGGGGCCGCTTCACCTGGGACTTCAGAAAAACAAAGAAGGGATGGGGCGAGGTCGCCCAGAAATGGCCCCACGGCAGGTCGTGGTCGACTTCCTGCACTCTGCAATGCTTGTGCGTGGGCGGCAGCTTGCTGGCACTTGTGCCCCGCCAGCCTCGGCGGGCCCGGCTGGCCAGCCCGGGGCAGCCGAGGGCTTTGGCCCCTCGGTCGGGCGCCCGGCTGGCCTGGCGGGCGCCCCCGAGAGAGCTCGCGGCCCGTGTCGAGCGGCTGGGGGGGGCCAGGGCAAGATGACTTGGAGAGCTCGCTGCGCGCAGTTCGACGGCTGCGCGCTGGGCCCATGGTGTCCTGGCGCGAGCTTCCTGCGTTATTTCCTCGCAGCGTGCGAGTGGGGCACCGCGGTGCAGTCTCTTGTGTCGGGCTGTCAAGCGCCGTGCAAGCGCCGATTTGTCGTTGTTTGCCCTTGGACGCGCCGATCAGTCGCTCCAGTCGCGCCGATCAGGCGCCCGTTGTGGCCTGTTGCTCGCCGCTTCATTGTCGCCCGCCTCCTGATTTTGCCGTGTTCCACCCGCGTTTCACTCGTCCTTTCTTCGCCACTCCTGGCCTTAGGCCCTGTGCCGTTTTTTTGTCTGTCGGAGGTGGCGTGGCGTTCTCGCCGCTTTCCGGCGGCGTTCTCCTCCGCTGGTCCGTCGGCCCCTTCTGCCTCCGCGGGGGTCGCGGGGTTCGCTCGGTCATCGCCGTCGCCGGTCGGTTGCGGGCTCGGCCGCGTCGCGGGGTCTCCCGCCGTCGTCTCTCTGGGCTCCCCGCCTGCCTCTGCCCTTGCTTGCTTTGTCTCCCCCTCTCCCTCTCCTTCGGGTCGCTCCCGCAGCGGGGGTGCCTTGCTTCTGCGTCCGCGCTTGGCGGTCTTTGCTGGCGTGGTGCGCTTTTATTGCGCCCTTGTTCTTCCCACCTTTTTTCTGCCTTCTCTACGGGGCGTCCTGGGTCGATTTGATGGCGATCTTGCCGTCGGTGCGTGCAGTGAGTGCACCTTGCTGCTCGAATGGCGCCCTGCCAATCAATTTCGGTTGGCGCCTCTATTGCAGCCTGTTTTCGGCCAGCCTGCCAGCCTGGATGTGTCATTGACATTGGCCTCTTTCGGTGGCTTGGCTATCTACCGAGGGTTTTACGGCATGGCGATTGTGGTTCGTTCCGGCATTGTTTGTGCGCGTTTTTACTTGTACTGCGTTCCGTCACCACCAGTCTATCCAGGATAGACTGGTGGTAGACAGGATCGACAATCCTGTCCTAGCGTCGGGTCCGCTGTTGTGATGCTGCCGGGGCCTGTAGGTCTAGCACGCCACCAATGCTATATTGTGCGTCACCGGTTCGTAGGGGAGACCCGATTTCCGTCCTGCCAGGCCATTAGCTCTCAGCATTACCCCACCAATTGGCTGGTCTGGCAGGCGTACAGGCTGCCTCGAGTCGAGCTATCGTGCTCCTCGGGTTCTGGACGCTGACGCTCTTTGGGCCATTTTCTGTCGGTGATTATTGGCGTTAATTTGCACCAGAGTGTTCGCGATTCATTCTGCCTTCAGTCAAGTTCGCTCTGCCCACTTCGCCTGAGGTTCCTCTGCGCCGCCGACTCGATATGTATATATATACACATGTGCGTCTGTGTGTGTGTGTGTGTGTGAGTGTGTGTGTGTGTATGTGTGTGTGTGTGTGTGTGTGTGAAAAAGTGAGAGTGTGTCTGTGTGTGTCTGTGTGTGTGTAAATGTGTGTGTGTGTATGTGTGTGTGTGTGTAAGTGTGTGTGTGTAGTTGCGTGTGTCTGTGTGTGTGTGCGGGTGTGCCCACGGTTGCTGTGAATTTATCTTCTTGACAAGGACGGTGGGTTTGCGCACAGCAGGCAGTATGCCGTCCCCCCGCCGTCCTTGGCAAAATGAGCTTGTGCGCCTGTGCGCAGCAGGCAGTGTGCCGGCGCCCCCGCCATCCCTGTCAAGACCAATGCAATGTGAGCAAGAGGTCTCCGTGCATGATCCAGATTGTGGTGCAACATTCATTTTACATCGTGTTTTGCAAAATATTGTTGGGGGGTGTTGGCGTTGCACACTGTAGACGACATGCTGCCTCCCCCGCCCGTCCCGGTTCAAACCCGCTGCACAGTGATCGCGGGGCGTCCGCACATGATCGCGTTTTTTTTCGTGCAAGTTGCGCATTGTATTGTTTTTGCCGAAAATGCTGGGGTGTGTTGGCCAGCGCGGAGAACACAATATGCCAGCACCCACGCCGTCTTTGTCAACAACCACTGCAAAGTGGTCGCGGGGCGCCCGCGCATGCACCAAATTTGGAGGCAGCGTGTATGCTGTGTTGTTTTCGATCGGGCTTGTGGTGGTGGGGGGGCGCACGGGTGCTTTCGTGGGTCTGGGTTGGATGCTGGTCGGGTGGGGGCGGTGGTGTTCACTCAGAGGGGACAGTGGTAGCCCCTTCCCCGAAGGGGAAGAAGGGGGTTGGTAGAGGAAGCGCCCTAAACCACGCGCCCTCCAAAGAGTGCTGGTGGGAGATCCTGCGTGCGGGATGCGATTGCCAAGGGCGGCAGCGCGTCGCTCAGTCTTGCAGACCTTCTGTCGTTGCGGACGCTGGAAGAGAACGCCAATGTCACAAACATTGCAAGCGTGCTATACGCCTTGTATGCTATTGCGCCTCTGTCATGTTGTCATTGTGGTAGCTGGTGGATGTGGAAGCAGTGCCGACGACACTCACATGCAGCGACAACGTGCATGGTGGCATTTCTCGTGAGGGTATGAACATATTCTCTGATGCGGTCAGGCACGAGCTTTGCCTTCGAGTCTAAGTGTACTAGTGGCGACAGGGCCCCAAACGTATTCACATCTTACTCTCCCTCAAGCTGAGAACTAGATAGTTGACGGCTGACCACACGGCGTAAAAATAGTTGACTATTATGAGGTTTGCTTCCGTTGACCGCCCACGCGCCAATGCCGATAAATCTCCTCCAGCATTGAGGCTGGCGAAGGCTTCTCCAACCGCATTCAGCACGCAGTTCTGGATGTTGGCGCTGCTTCGTGCGAGCAGGTAACCGCAACTCTGCAGCAGGATGGGCGTGCGCCTGGGGATTCGAAGGGGTAAGAAGGGGTTAAGACTGTTGAGGGTGAGAATGAGGATACTGATGGATCTGACGAGGAGTTGGGACAGGAAACGAGGGAGAACACGCGATGGAGCCACGAGGATCGTGTAGAGTTTTCGTAGAGATGCAGAGCTGGGAGGATGATCTAGTCGACGCCCGATCAAACAATCGTGGCGACGTCGAAAAGGCGCGGAGGAGGATGAGGAGCGATGATGGGAAGGACAACGGCGAGGAATAGGACGAGGATGAGCAGTGTGAACCTGCGGTGCATCTGCACAACTGCAATAAACCTTCGTTTCTTTCTCACTACCAGGTGCGCTCCCTCAAACTTCGAGGGTCTGCTAGGCCTGCCCTTCAGGCGGGAGCCGAGTTTCGAACCGAAGCTCCCCTGCATGTTTCGAGCTGTAAGTTCCGCGCAGGGAGCTCAAGGAGGTGTGCAGTGAGAGCCACACTTGTTTTCGGTGCACAAGGCCGTCTGCGCGCTCATCGTCGCGAAGGTTCCCTACGCCTGAGGCATCCCCCCACGTTCCCCCTTCGCGGCTGCCCTCCCTTTTTCCAATCGTCCAGTGTGCCGTTGCCCAGCGCGGCCCGCTGGCTGATCGACCGCGTTGGCGTCCGCTTTCGCGCTGCTGACAGACAATCCAGTGAGGGCTCTGGTCTGAAAGGCGCGGCCTTCCTTCGGTGTAGCTGCTGTGCGAGTTGTCGTGCCTGGCCATGGCTTGTGAGCGCGTCTCAAGCGAGGGTTCCATGTTGGCCATGGGCCGCCTGCCGTCCGTGGGCGTGGCGCTCGATTGTAGAGGTCTGGTCATACGGTTAGAGCAGCTTGCGCAGGAACGCTGCGTACTGAAAAGGGACCTGCCCTCCATCCTCGTGGTTGCTGTGGGCTTTGCAGGCGAGTGTGCGCAGCACTGAGGCGAGACATGTAGTTGAACAGTGGAGCCGCCTTCGACGGTTGTAACAGACGAAAGTTTTTACTACGACTGTGCGCGGCGCCGAGGCGAGAATCACATCTTTAGAACCATTCGCCGTCCATCCGTATGTTTGACGCTTTCATGACGAATGTGCGCGGCACTGGGGCGAGAGCTATATCGAAAACTACCCGCCGTCCATCTGTGCAGTTGGGACATGCAAGGTTCGGGGTCGCAAGTGGGGTGGACTCCTCAAGCTGCGGGGGCGCAAGCGGGGTCGCAAGCGGGGGGGGCGAGACGGATTACTTCATAAGAGGGGGTGGCGACGGTGAGTGCGAGGAGGGGAATGCGGCGGTGCAGGATGAGCCCGCAGGAAACATCCCCAGAGCCTCGCAGGAAAGATTCGCATTGGGCGCGGAGTGCAGGGGCGGATTAGGGAGGCGCGCGGGCCGAGCACTTCATCACGTGGTTGCGCGTGTGGAACACAACTAGCCACTGTGTTCACGCTCCCACACAAGGTTGGCAAACTACGTTGATCGCAACCAACCCTCGAGTTTCGTCATCCGCTGATTGCTGTCACTCGCGCGTGGGAGGCAATGCAGTCGGCCCCGGTTATACCGTTGTGCCCTGCGTCTCGCGGCCCATGCCTCCAACACTCCTGGCTGGCCATGTGGCCCTCGGAAGGGTCCCGTGCCCTCTCGCGTGTCCTGTCCGAGCCAATCCGACCGTAGTGTGTGGACCACAGCAAAGTCTGCGCGTTTCGCACCTCGTGGACTGGGCGGTGCTGCGCCGCCGCGGAGCAGGAACAGCTGTGGATAGCACGGCGTCCCTCCTGCACGTTGGCTTCGGCACGCGTACCGGCTCGAAGAATTACCACGGTAGTTTTTGCGCACGCTTCGCGAAATGTTGTGCAGGTGGTCCGGTTCCGCATCCTGGATCTCATCGTTTTTCACGCTGCGACGCGTTAACGTAGCGGAAGCATGATCTTGGCCGTTGGCCATACCGTAGCGTTGGCCAGCATCGCGCTCGAAATTTGGTTTCGGACCATGGTTTCGTTTCGGCTGGCGCGCGCGCGCGCGTGCGCAGCTTACACCAATGTGCGTGGGTATCGGACGCCCCCGCAGGGGTTCCCTCGGCCGCAGGCACCATTCAAGTTCTGAGCCCCGGCCGCTGTTGCATGGATCAGACTTGCATTAAGTCGGGCACGTCCCTCCACAGGAGGAATATTCAAAAATAGTCAAGAATAGTCAGGAGACGATTTTTCTAGTAGTTGTTGGGCAATTTTTGAGTTTGTTGTTTTTTTGTCAACATTTTTTTTGGGGCGAAAAGTGGCCTGTAGGGGGACATGCTCGACCTAAGACTTGCATGGGTCATTCGGGTTCACGCGCGGTTGCCTGCTCCCAGGGCCAGAGGGCCGTCTCGACAAGTGACCCGGGGAGAGAGCAGCCCATCTCGGGAGAGCCCCAGAGGTCCAGGACGCCTTTCCCTCGTGCTGACTCTTCGGCTGCACGTTTGAGATGTTGAGTCTTCCGCAGGGGCGCTCTGCGCTTCGCCGTCTGAGGCGGAGGGTTGCTTTTCTCCAGTGTGATCGTGCGAAAACGCGAAGATGATCACGCCTTGCGTTTCACGCAGCGCGATGGTGCCATTCGCGAAGTTTGGCGACCTCGTGGATGCCTTCGGGATCAAGAATGGGTCTGGTCAGCGATCGGGTCGGTCGAGTCCCTTCGGGTGATGCCTGGGAGGCCCGAGCGCTGACCTGACTCCTTGTGTCCCTGAAGCGGCAGTTCCACGGCTGATTGGTCAGGTTATAGTGGGGGCCCATGCCAAGAAACACCCTGCTTGCCTCCAGGATGCCCTGGGCTTCTTGGGTTGCGATGGCTTTGCCGTGGAAAGCGCAACGTTCTCACACCAAAAAACAACGGACGTCCTGGGGTCTCAGGGTTGGGTTTCTTGTGGAAGGTTTCTCAGGAGGAGGAGGGGGAGGAGGAGGAGGAGGAAGGAGGAGGAGGAGGAGGGGGGGAGGAGGGAGGAGGAGGAGGAGGAGGAGGAGGAGGAGGGAGGGAGGAGGAGGAGGAGGAGGAGGGAGGAGGAGGGAGGAGGGAGGAGGAGGAGGAGGGAGGAGGAGGAGGAGAGGAGGAGGAGGAGGAGGAGGAGGAGGAGGAGGAGGAGGGAGGAGGAGGAGGAGGAGGAGGAGGGAGGAGGGAGGAGGAGGAGGGGGAGGAGGGAGGGAGGAGGAGGAGGAGGAGGAGGAGGGAGGAGAGGGAGGAGGAGAGGAGGAGGAGGAGGAGGGAGGAGGAGGAGGAGGAGGAGGAGGAGGAGGAGGAGGAGGCGGAGGAGGAGGAGGGAGAGGAAGAGGAAGGAGTGGTCGGGCCCCTGCTGCAGTGTTTACATGGCTCTGCCGGCACTCGGGCATATCTCCTTTGAGCCCAGCGCCGACCCGGCTGCTTTTCGGTTCCCTAGTGTTACGTCGGGCATGTCCCTCGACAGGAGGACTATTCCAAAACATCGCAGGCCTAGAGGCTGACACCAACACCAATATCGGCGGTGCTCCTCCACCGAGGAAAGAAGATCCCGATCTCGGTGATGGAGGTAATATTCTGGCTTCAAGGTGACCGAAATATTACCACCAACACCGACATCTAGGATCATCTCTCCCCTGTGGAGGCAGCCCCCTGTCTTGGTGTTGGTGCCTATTTCCAGGCCTCCAAAAATAGTCAAAAAATAGTCGGGGGACGATTTTTAAAGTAAGCTATCTAACCCTAGTGCATTCTCACTGCTTCACGGTTGCCTCCCCTCGCTGTTCTGTCGCCGCTGCGTCCAGATGTGTGGGTCTTCATCTCTTCTCGGTCGCAAATCATGGGAACCTGGTATACCCTCTTACATCCGTCTTCAGCGTCGACTTGTGTCGATTAGCGTCCATTAGCGTCTGGGAGTCGATGAGATAGCGCCGACTTAGCATCGGTTAGCGTCGATTAAGCGTCGATTAGCGTCGATTCAGCGCCGACCAGCGTCGATCCGCAAGAGCGGACAAGATGGTATGGGAGGCTCCCATGAGTTGCCACCGAAACATCTTCGCCCCGTCGACCAAGCTATATACAGTCGAGCATCCGATGAAGAAATCTCCTCCCGCAAAGCTGGGCCAGCATTTCTCAACCAACCTGCCGGAAAACTGACCCAGCTTCTTGAGCACGTTCGCCCCTCCAACGTTGATAGCAGATATTGGCCCAGTTTTGTTGTCTTTACAATTAGCTGGCCTAGGCTTCTTAAACGATAATGCTCCCAATCTTCTTTTAGGCTGTATCTCGATGTCTGCAAGCCGGGTGGCAGAGCTGGGGTAACCACGTCAAGAGATGGGAGGAAATGGGGATGGAGGATAAAGAGGGAGGAACCAGAGGAGCAGGACGAGGACGAGGACGACGAGGACGAGCAGTGGGAGGAGGAAGAGAAGGAGGAGGAAACAAGGAAAAGGGAGGAGGAATGAATTGAGAAGGACTGAGAAAGAGGGGGGACAGACGTTGAGGGGAACCATTATGGATTATGGGGGGCCACGTTGGGGAGGCGGAGGTGGAGGACGGACAATGATGAGGAGGAAGGCAAGGAGGACGGGCGGGGCGATGATGATGCAACTGATGATGATGCTGATGATGCTGATGATGACGACGATGGTGATGATGGTGATGATGATCATGACGATGATGCTGATTATGATGATTATGGTGGTGGTGGTGGTAGGAGGAGGAGGAGAAGGAGGGGGAGGGGGAAGGAGATGGGGGGGGGGCGGCTACAAGATTCATGCATGTTGGAGGCGGCCCCGAGCGACCGAACAAATGCAGGCACAGTCTCTTCCGAGCCTCTGCGACAGACAGATGTGGTCCTAGAGGCGCAGAGGAGGAGGGCTGCAGGCACAGTGCATGCGGCGGGAGTGGATCACAGCAGTGACGCATGCGGTGGTGCCAGGCTGCGCGCACCTTTGGCCGGGTTGACGTATTCGTGGCCAACGCTGGGACCGGAAATGGAATGCTGATTATTGGTTCACCCACCGCGGAGGCCCGGGGAGGGAGATGTGTGCGTGCCACGCGGGATCGCTTCCAGCAGCAGGCAGTGCTGCGTGTCATCACGAGGGTTGAAGATGTGCGCCTGCGAGCGGCATTGAGGCATGGGCGGGGTGTGCGGGGTGATACGGGGTGAGGGATGGTGACGAGTGAGGACGAACCATCATTCAGATATGATTACACACGCTTTCATTGCTGTCAGTGGCGGGGGTCGCACTTGACGCTAACGTGCGCAGGACTGTTTGCGGCAATGATCTCACATGGGACGGTCAGGGAAGGTGCAGCAAACCTTGGAGACCCAAGTCGCAGGCCAAGCTTAGAGCTTTGATGGGGACAGCGAGATGTCAATTTCTCTCCTCATCTTCCTCTTCCTAAGACTCGTCTTGTGTTCTTCCTTCTTATCTGCACCCCCTCCTTGTCTTTCTGCTTGTTGGCCTCCTCCTTCTTCTCCTCACGCTCCTCCCCCTCATCCTCTCCTTTCTCCTCCAGCCTGCTCCCTCTTTCCTCCGGAAGTTCGGCGTTACAACGCATGACAAGTCAAGCATGAATTGGTACACTAGCGTACTCGAAAGCAACGCGTCTTGAAAATCAGCAAATGCCATCACCACCACTGCTTTTTTTGCAACGGGCACATTTCTGACGAACGCGCCCGCGCGGTTCGTCGGGACGTGAGCAGACGGGCCAGTGATTTCGACGCTGCCGCCGTGTGACAGTCAGGGCAGGTCCGACCTGAGACGGTAGCGGCATGCGGTGACCGAGGCAATGATATCGTTTTTTTCTAGCATTGGAACTGGGACAGAGAATCGCAGTGCAGTGGCCATGGCGCAGGGCATGGACAAAGGGTGCGACACAGCAGCATGATGCAGCAGTTCTGGAACGAGTGCAGCGCTTCTGTTGGTGTGTTGCGAGCTCCCCCCCCCGGAAGTCAATCTGGTCGGCGGCCTTCGCTGTGTTATTGCTGCAGCTCAGCTCATGGTGTCTGACGGCGAGGAGGGGGCGGGAATAATCAGGGGGCTTGCGCACGAGAGGAGCATTACCCCTCGGGGCGCTGCGCCAGTCTCCATGTCTAACCTTCTCTTCAGCGGATGGCCAACAGGCTCAACACCTCATTGATCATCGATGCCAATTCTAAAGGCCTGTCTCCCCAATCCGAAGTTTTCCTAGCCTGGAGATCCTTGCGCTGTTTTGAGCCTCTGGGAGTCTCCGATGCCAACTTTCTCCACGCGCCGCGGCCCGCCCTCCTCTGCTTCTTCATCGGTCCTCCCTGTATGTGTGTGTGTGTGTGCCAGCCCATCTCAGCTGCCACGGATCCCGCCTGCGGGGCCGGCCGCGCCAGCACACTCGGGTGAGAACTCTCCTTCCTCTGGGTGGCCTCTTCTTCCCCCCCCTCTTTTTCCTCCTCCTCCTCCTCCTCCTCCTCCTCCTCCTCCTCCTCTGGGCACGCTCGACCTCCTCCTCCTCCTCCTCCTCCTCCTCGTCCTCGTCCTCGTCCTCGTCCTTCCGTAGCCATTTTGGCTCAAGCCATTTTGGCTCAAGCCGTATCGGCTCAGGGTGGTCTGCGCGACCCGCTCGGCCTGGCTCCCCCCGACCCGCTCCTCGGGCCTTCCTGCTCCCTCTCCCTCGGGCCGGGCGCGCCTCGGCCGGCGGCCGCCCGCCCTGTGCCCCTCGCTCTCCAGCCATGGCGGAAGTCGCTCCTGGCACAGCCGCTGTGAACGGCCTGCCAGCACTGCCTGTGCCGACTCCCCCTCCTGGGGGGGGTGTGCTGCCGCCCGCGCCACCGCCCGCGCCCCAGGTACAAACCGCGGTGGCTGAGCAGCTCAGCGCCTTGACGGTGATTGTGAAAGAGGGTTTCACCTCGCACAAAGCAGAGTTTGAGTTGTTTCGCCAGCAGATGACAGTGATGGGGTCCAACTTCGATCGTATGCAGGAGGAGTTCGCGGAGATGAATCGTCGCTCGGAGGCTCGTTGGGCAGAGATAAAGAAATCCCAGGATGCAGCGATCCACCAGGTCTCGATTGACACAGATGCGAAGTTGGCGGCAGTAGTGGCAAATATCGACGTTCAGATGCAAGAGTTACAGCAGAAGCTCTCAGCAGGCTCGTCGACTCGTGCCGATTCGGAGTTCGAGCTCGTGGGAGGTGATGGGGAAGGAGGGCGTCGGACGAGGTTGAGGACGTCGGGCCCCGACCAAGCCAGTGCTACTCGTCTCATTGTTCTAGGTTTCGAGAAGCCCCTGCTGGAAGCGTCGCTCAAGGAAGCGGTGGCCCCGATTGTCGCCGCGTGTAGTCCAGCTGGTGAAGGACCGATCGTTCGAGCATGCTCCCTCGCGCGGAAGGTGATCCTTGACTTCCCCAGTACCCTGTCGTGCAAGGCGTTCTTCGGTGAGAGCCAGACCATAGGTAAGACTGTATACAAGAACCCGATTGATAACCAGGGCTGGGAACTCCGCGTGCGTCGTGACTTGCCCCCAGCTAGCCGTAAATTGTTCTACTACCTGGGACAGACTCGAGCGATCATCGGGAAGGTCTTGGGGGATAAAGGTTTCCAGGTGGGCAGCAACGGTCTTGGCGGCCAGATGTACGGTCTCATTACGGCTACCCACCCTGTGATTCTTGCGAAGGTCACGGTCCTGGAGTGCGGTCGCCCCGAACTCGTTCTGATCCCTGAGGCCCTCGGAACGTTCGGAGTAGGTGAGCACGCTGCATGCATTGTCACCCTTTTTGATCAGATTCGGCCCTTTGTGTGATGGCCCCAGTTGTCCTGGAGCTCCTCGCCTCGGGATTCCCAGTGCGCTGCCTGGTCTTTTTTGTCGGGTCCCTGGTGGTTCGGGCCCTCCCTGGGATGGTAGGCCTGTCGGGGGAAACCATCGGACCCGTGTGCCGACCAGCCAGGATAGTGCTCAGCCAGCCAACCAGTGTTTTAATCTGAATTCAGGAGGACCTTTTACCCCTGGTGACCCGTCCTCTGGAGCGAACGGGGTGTTTGTTCTTTCTTCTGCGCTTGCCTTGTGCTCTTGGAATACACGTGCTCTCTTCTCTTCGTACTCTACTTCGTCTCCGCTGGCAGCTCGGCGTTACAAGCAGATGTATGGTCTTGTTGGCAAGTTTGACGCTGTGTGCTTACAGGAGACTCATGGCACGGTGTCTGATGTGGAGATGTTACAGCGTGATGATCGTTGTCGTAGTGCAATTGTTCACCATTCGATGATCGATCCGAGGGCTGGGGGCGGTGTGGTTACTGTCATATCGAGTAAGCTGGCTTCGCAGTTCGAATCGATCACTCCGTTTCCGTTGATTGCTGGCCGTGTTCTCGCCTCGCACCTGAAGGGACGTAGTGGGGACTTAGTGATTGTCAATGTGCACATGCCGAATACTTCTGATCCAGTTGCGATGTATCGCAGGTACCTGTGTGTGATTCAGGCTTTCCTCCCATTGGCTGCGCACGCCATGTGCTTGATTGCTGGGGATTGGAACTTTATGAAGGTTGAGGAGGGGCGGTTTCGGACTGACGGCACGTGGTTAGCAGGGGATAGGGAACACAATGATGCCCTTCAGTCTATTTGTGGGTCTTCGGCTGAGCTTTTCCAATCAGATCCAACACGGCGTGCTGTGTTCCAGGGAGAAGTCCGTGGGGTTGCCCGCCTGGACCGCATCTACGCCTCTCTCTCGGCCCCTGTCTTGAATGATTTGGCGGTGACGGTAAATACCCTGGGGCATGCCGTGAAGACCTTCGCCTCTTCTGACCACATCCCCGTCGTGGCCACTGTCGCTCTGAGACTACCATCAGCATTGCCCACCCAGATTCCTAAGTGGATTTCCCGACATGGAGCTTACCATGAATTATGCACCAGCGCTATTATGCAAATCGACCAAGATCTGAACCCTCGGGAGAAACTGGCTCGGGTGAAGGAGATTTTCTGGCAGATGGCCCCTCTGTTCAAGGCTCGGCTTCGGTCGAGGCCCCCGAGAGAGAATTGTGAGAAGCTCCACTTTGCTATGATGGCCTTCCGTGGGTGGCGTATGGGCAGGTTCGACCAGTGTGTGCGTGCGATACGTGCGCATCCTCGGCTACTTCAGTACTTTGATCCTGACCGTGAGAGATGCTTGGATATAGTTGGCTTAGGTGCATTGGTGCAGTCTCTGAAGGATGCTTGGCATGAGCCGGAGGAACGGGCGATGGACGGGTGGGAGGATGACGAGAAGTCTAAGGCTAAGGCAATGGCACGCTTGCAACACCTTCGTCGTGCTTGGTCAAAGATGCGACGGCGATGCGGGCTCTCTGGGGTCCTGGACAGTTCTGGACAGGTGTGCCCTTCTCCAGCGGCCTCTGCTGAGGCCCTTCGTGACCATTGGCAGGCGGTTTTTGCCGCCAAGGAACCTGATCGGACCCTCTGGCCCGAAATCCTCGCTCATGCCCAGCCGATCCAGTTGGACCCAGTACATTGGAAGTTGGAAGTTGGTGGTTTTATGGAACGAGCCCGATTTAGGCATCGCTCTGCCCCTGGGGGGATGGCATTCCGTATGGATGCTGGAAAGCCGAGGGGGCCGCTGATGTTTTATTTGCTGTATAGGATGAGATGTACCAAGCGTCGGGGGGTACTGTTTCGGCGTGCATGCGTCGTGGAAGGATGTGTTTCCTGCCCAAAGACCTGAAGGGCGACGAGAACCCCGCTGTCCTTGTTCGGTCGCCTGATAAGACTCGCCCACTCACGCTTGCGAATGCCGATGCGGAGCTCCTGAGTGACGCCTTCTCCATTGGCCTCCAGCGGGCTGCACCGTCAGTGATCGACCCGATCCAGCGGGGGGGGGGGGGGTTCCGCGGCGTGGGCTCCTTGACAACGTGGTCGAGATTGAATGGTGGGGTCTTCGTCAGATGCTCACTGGTGGGGATCGCTCGGGCATCCTTTTCACGGACTTTAAGGCTGCGTTCCCCTCTCTGATCGTCTCCTGGGTATTGGCGGTCTTGGAGTCCATGGGTGTTCCTGGTGAAGTTTGTGGTTTCTATCGCGAGTTGTACCGTGGCAATGTGGCTGTAATCCATTTCCCTGGGACTACTGGTATTACGTTTTCGGTGGAGCGTGGGGTGCGGCAAGGTGATCCTGCTTCGATGCTCCTCTTCGCTTATGCGTTAGACCCAGTATTGCGTTGGATGAGGGCCAAGCTCACGGACCATGTCCCTCGGATTAGAGCGTGCGCTGATGATCTCTCCTTCTGCCTTCCCAACATCCTGACTGACCTCCAGCCGACGCTCTCGCTCCTTCGTAAGTTGGAGCAGGCTGTGGGACTTGGACTGAACATTCCCAAATGTAAGGTACTGGTGATTGGCTCGCTTGATCCTGATAGATTAGTTGCCCACCTTCGAGCCAAGGGGAGTGAGTACTACCGCATTGGGTTTGTTCGTGTGGTTCTATACTTGGGATTCTGGCTTGTGCTTGGGGCTCTGGACAAAGTATGGAGCAACACCATCCCCAAGTTCTGGATGACGGTTCGGGGGCTCCGTGGGCTTGGGCTTGGGCTTCCACAGACCATTCGCCTCTTCCACTCGCACTGCATGTCGATTCTGGCGTGCCAGTTACAACTCTGTCCAGTGACCAAGGCTCTTCGGAAAGCGTATAATGAGGCCTTGCAGGTGATTGCTGCTGGTCCCCGCCATGCCTTCCCGAGGGAGATGCTGACGGGCATGCGAGCGTTGGGAGCCTCTTTAGAATGCTTGGATATCGATTGTTTTTCTAAAGCTATCAAGTTTCGGGTGGTGATGTCTTGCTCCAGTATAGATGCTATCCAGTATGAGATGGAGTCGTTGACGGTTTCCCTGGATGACGATAACTTCATTCCCGCTCGACTATCATGGCCCTGGTGGAAGTCTTCCTGGATCAGGACTATGGTGACTGAAGTAGGCAACTTCACGGTCCCGTCCCTGGAACCCATCCCCAAGAAATCCCTTCATAAGAAAGCCATGCGCAATCTCAGAGGGCTCCGTGACCCCACTGT